TGTTGAGGCTAATTTATTGGTTGAACAAAAATGAATAGATTAAGAGATGTAGACCCGAGATATCAACTTTCATACAAAATGAATTAAAATTTTGAAAATCATATGTTAATTCTTCTTGATACATTTAATTCATGCTATTTTTCTTGTTAAGTTCTTTGTCTATACATTTTTAATAATTAATATTTTCTTAATAGACTCTCATTCCCATTAATTTGTAGTTGAAAGAAAATATTTGTTTATCTAAGTGAAAATCTATGGTTAGGTTCCATTGATGTGATCCTCAACTAATTTAAAGTTTAAACTTATATTGATTTTAGATTGTGGATTAATGCTTTAATATACCTACTAGAAAATACTTGCCTCGACATTAAAAAAGAAAAAGAAAAAGAAAATGAAAATTTGAAGAATTTATTTAATCTCAAGTAAGAGTTAGGATAAGTTTATTGGGGGAGTAATGTTAATAATAAAAAAGAAAGTTCAATTAAATTTGGTTGACGAAGAATTTGAAAATGAGAAGGTACAAAGTGAAGATGATATGAATTGAGAGCTTGGAAATTTTGTGGATCACGAGCAAGAAAATTTGGAAGATGAAAAAAATTAGAAATGAAAAAACATGAATATATTAATTTCTAATGTGTACCTTCGCATTTAGACATTAGTAATCCAAAAAATTGAAAACTATTGATCAAAACTTGATATAATTGTCGGTGTAAAGAGGTCCCTAGGGAAAATGTTATTGCTTTTCCTAATAAAAATTCAGAAAATAGACATTTATCTTGTGCATATCACATTTTTTGCATTTAGCAAATGGTGAGAAGAGTGATAGAAATTGGTTGGTTCACTCAATTTCATAGGATATAGTATTTTGCTTTTGTTGTAAGTTATTTAAGCTAGAATGAAACAACACTTAATTAGCCAATAAAGGACTAAATGATTGAAATTTTTTGAATTTTAACAAATATCTCTCATAGTACAATATGTAGATGCTTAGCAAGTCCAGTAAAAGTAGAAGAGTTTTTTGAAATTCCTTAATATAGATGATACGTTAGAGTAATGACTGTTTTATGAATTATCAAAATTTTTAAAAGCACTTGAACTTGATATTAGCTATTTAAGAGGTCATGATTATATAATTGTTCTAACATAAAAGGGAAGCATAAAAGTTTACAGAAAAGAGTTCCAGAAGTGGTGAAGTGTATAAGGAGTTAGAATTTATGA